TTTCTTGTCTTTTTGATACTAGCCATTCTGAAAGTATGAGGTGATACCCATTGTGGTTTTAATTTGCATTTTCCTGATGATTAGTGATGTTAAGCATCTTTTTATGTGTCTATGGCCATCTGTATGTCTTCTTTGGAAAAATGTCTATTCAGGTCCTCTGCATATTTTTTAAACAGATTGTTTTCTTAGTGTTGAATAGTTTAAGTTCTTTATATATTTTGTATATTAACCCTTATGAATATATCATTGCAAATATCTTCTCTCATTCACTAGGTTGCCTTTTTGTTTTGTGTATAGTTTCCTTTGCTGTGCAAAATCTTTTTATTTTGGCATAGTCCCAATAGTTTATTTTTGTTTTTGTTTCACTTCCCTAAGGAGACATATCTAGAAAAACTTTGCTAAGGCAAATGACAGAGATTACTGACTATGTTTTCTTCTAGGAGTTTTATGCTTTCATGTCTCAAATTTAGGTCTTTAATCCATTTAAAGTTTATTTTTGTGTATGGTATAATAAAGTGATCCAGTTTCATTCTTTTGCATGTAGTGTCCAGTTTTCCCAGCACCCATTTGTTGAAGAGACTATCTTTTCCCCACTGTATATTCTTACCTTCTTTGTTGTAGGTTAATTGGCCATATAATCATGGATTTATTTCTGAGCTTTCTATTCTGTTCCACTGATCCATGTGTCTATTTTTGTGCCAGTCCCACACTGCTTTGATTATTATAACTTTGTAGTATATCTTGAAATCCAGGATTGTAATACCTCCAGTTTCGTTCTTCTTTCTCAAGATTGCTTTGGCTACTCATGTCTTTTGTGGCTCCATACAAATGTTTGTATTATTTGTTCTAGTTCTGTGAAAACTGTTATTGGCATTTTGATTGCATTAAATCTGTAGATTGCTTTGGGTAGTATGGACATTTTAACAATTTTAATTCTAATCCATGAGCATGGAATATCTTTCCATTTGTTTGTGTCATCTTCAATTTCTTTCATCAGTGTTTTATAGTGTTCAGGGTATAGATCTTTCACCTCCTTGATTAAGTTTATTCCTAGGTATTTTATTCTTTTTGGTGCAATTATAAATGGAATTGCTTTCTTAATCTCTCTTTCAGCAGAGAAATTCTTTGTTGTTAGCGTATAGAAATGCTATCAATTTCTGGGTATTAATTTTGTATCCTGCAACTTTACTGAATTCATTTATTACTTCTAATAGTTTTTTGGTGAAGTCTTTAAGGTTTTTCTATGTATAGTATCATGTCATCTGCAAATGGTGACAGTTTTACTTCTCCCTTACCAATCTGGATGCCTTTTGTTTCTTTTTCTTGTCTGATTGCTGCAGCTAGGACTTCCAGTACTATGTTCAATAAAAGTGGTGAGAGCAGACGTTCTTGTTTTGTTCCTGATCTTATGGGCAAAGCTCTCGGTTTTTCACAACTGAGTATGATGTTAGCTGTGGGTTTGTCATATATGGACTTTATGTTGAGCTATATGTTCCCTCTAACCCCTTTGTTGAGAGTTTGGTTTTTTTTTAATCATGAATAGATGTTGTATTTTGCCAAATGCTTTTTCTGAATCTATTGAGATGATCATATGGTTTTTATCCTTAATTTTGTTAATGTGGTATATCATGTTTATTGATTTATGGATGTTGAACCATCCTTGTGTCCCAGAATAAATCCCACTTGATTGTGGTAAATGATCCTTTTAATATATTGTTGAATTCAGTTTTCTGATATTTTGTTGAGGATTTGTGCATCTATACTCATCAGGATATTGGCCTGCATGCAAGCTATGTTTTTATAAAGCAGTCTGGACCTTGAAATAACTCTTCTCTCTCTCTCTCAAGAAATGAACATCCTATGAAAGCCATTTCCAATGTCACTGATTTATTCATTTAACAAGATGATTTAATACCTAGGCTGTGTGTGTGTGGCACTCTTCTAGGTACTTGGTCCCAGATATGCATCTTAAGAGATGAGATAGGATTTTAGGATTTTAGCATATGCCTTACAAAGCCAAAACATTATTATTATGTCTGCACAATCTTTTTGTAGCCTATCTACCTGCTCATAGTTTAAAATGATCAGGAGTAACAGTGTGGATGTGACCCTAGGAGAGGCTGTAATTAATATTTACCCTTAATTCCACCTTATACCAGCTTTAGAGACAAATAGTGTCTTGTTTTCAACTCCTCATACAAGTAATGTTGAGCAACCAGAGCCCCTTAAAACTGATTCCTAAACTGCTGCAAACTTTTTAACCTTCTTAAAAGATCTAGAACCAATCAGAAATAAATTATAATCAGGTGAAAAAGAGGATGAGGATGTTAAGAATCCAGACCTGAAAATTCTATTTAAAAACCTACCTATCAAAAATAATAAATAAAAATAAAAACATCCCTATTGTCTTTTAAATAAAGAATTCAGAGACTTGGGATAGAATTTTTTTAATGAAATGTTAAATCTGAAACTAGAATTTTATGTAGTTTGGATTATGAAATGAAAAATTATAGTATTTGGTTTAGCAGGTGCATACTGAATCCTTACTACAAGCTGTATTGGCAAGACATAGTTCTACATTGGAGAAATAAGTCTTAAACACAAATAACTATAATATTAGACAGAAAATATTTGTTCTAATAGAGGGTCTAAAAATGCCATTTAAAACAGATAAAGAAAGCACTTATTCCTGTTAGGAGGGATTATAAAAGATTAAAGGAAATGTCTCATCCAAAGCCATTGAAGGGGCAGAAATGTCGGGACATAACAAAACCAACCCAAGTATGTTACAGGCTGCCTTTGGAGACCAGCTAGAAACCCCACCTGACTGGAGTACTGGGGAAAAAGAAATAAATGTAGATGATTTGTAGCAGATCATGGAGACCCCAAAATGTCATTAAAGGAGCAGGGAATTTACTTTGAAGCCAACTAAAAACCATGGAGGGGTTTTGAAACAAGGCATAATAATCAAAACTGTCCTAGAGAGATTAATCTGACACCCATGTATAAATAGATTTTAAAATATCAGAGATAGGAAAACCAATATCGACACTATTGTTGCATCAGGTCACGTGAACCTAGACAACTTATAAGCTAGCAGAATCAAAGTAGATGGCCGTTCCACAAACATGAAAAAGGAAATAGAATCCGGGGAATAGATGCAAAACACCCTGGTGAGGAATGACTAGAACTTGGGGATGCATGTCAGGCAGTTAAAGAGGCAGTCCCAAGATGTTTTGAAGTTCAATGTCTGTGTGCCAGGGAGGCTGACAAAGTTCTTAAAAAGAGAAAGGTAAGGTTTGGAGAAAGAAGAAAAATAATGTTAATATTTATTAAATAATAAATATTTATTGAGCACTTACTATGTGCCAGGCACTGTTCTGGGGGGATGAGAGTTATCTTTGATTTTTAAAACACTTTATGTAGAAAAGGCTCTGTTCCCAGTCTGTGTAACCCCAAAGGCAGAGCTGGAACCAGTATGTAGGAGTCAGGTAGGAAGTAAAATATCTAAGAAGTGGAGTCTTCCTGATAAGTAGTAAGAGCTCTGTTCTAGGCAGTATTCAAACATAAATTGGATAATCATCTTCTGGGCATCCTGTGACAAGGGATTTCTGCCTTAAGAGAGAGGTTAGACTAACCCTTCTTCAAGTTCTCTCCCAATCTTAAGTAAGAGTCTATTCTTTCCTATGATTTAGTCCTATGGGTTCTATTATTTTTTTCTATGGGTTCTATTATTAATCTCTGGTTTCTCTCAATTATTAAATAAATTACCCAATCTGTCTGCCATTCAGTAAAACTCACACATTTGCATCTGTTATTCTTGAATTATTTTTGGTTAGGACTCTTCTTCCTTATTAAAAATCTCTACCCAGTAATGTTACCTTTATAGCAATTTAGAATGCTAACCCTGGTAGACTGGGTTATAAATATCAGAGGGGAAAAGGAATTCTTGTGCCTAATAATATTTTTGTTTGGAAGAAGCCCTGGAAATGAGAAATGAATTATCTTGACTTCAAGATTGCGATGCAGTTTCTGTATTTTGCAGTAATTCAGAAGAGAAAAAAATATTTCAGAGAGGTTCATTTTGATACAGCATGTTAAAGAAAGAGAATAATTATTCTCCAAACCCTGCAAAGCTTTAGATCAGAAACATTTAGCTGTGTTGCGGTTAGAAAAGAAGAAAGGAAAGAGAAGAAAAGGAGAGGAAAAAGGAAACCTGTAGTGAGCTCTGGCTATAAGCTATAGTTAAAGCTTTGCATTTCCTGGTGTCTTTTGAAACGTAAAATTCCACAACAAATAGTCCTGTAACGTATAACCAGTATGAAGATTCAATTCAGATTTAAGCACTTTGGTTTGCTTTTGAATCTTGCTATTTTCTGCATTTGTTTTGACTGCTCTCATCATTCAGGATTGACGCTTGGATGGGTGTGTAGGAGGAAGCAGCAGCGGCAGGCTTACAGCTTGCAGACAAAAAAAAAATCTGCCTTATCTGATGGCTATTATTGAAAATGCGAGGTGTAGCCTGGGCTGGGTAATGAAGGGGAGCGAGCGAGGGGGAGCAAGGAGCATGGAGCTGCATACTGATGAGTGTAGGAGTACTTGATAAAAAGAATTCTGGCTGCTGGCCGTGCATTGCTCATTGTGGAGTACTCCAACAATCACATAGAACGCAGACCAGCCTAAGCTGACAGCTTGATATGCCTTCTTCTGCTGCCTGGTTTTGGGGGCTGTATGACGTACTGGTCGGTAGTAAAGATTAATATGTAAGAAATGTGGAGCTAGGATCAAGTCATACTCCACAGCCTGCCTGGCAAACTATGTTTTACTTCTGACTTTGCTCTCTCGCTGAGAACATTAATCTGTCAAGCTGGCGGGCTCCTTTGATAGCAACTTTCCCAGGAGCATGATGTGGCAATGCCACCTCTCAGCCCAGGACTACCGCTATTACCCAGTGGACGGCTACTCCCTGCTTAAACGCTTCCCTCTTCATCCTCTTACAGGACCCAGATGCCCCGTCCAAACAGTGGGACAATGGTTGGAAAGCATTGGGCTACCTCAGTACGAGAACCACCTGATGGCTAATGGATTTGACAATGTACAGTTTATGGTAAGACGCTCTCTGTGTCCACGGAGCTGCCTTTTGTCTGTCTTTGCTTCTTATGTGTCTTACACGGCTCAGAGGCAGCCTGATTTGCACCAAAACCGGTCAATTTATATATGTAACTGCATCAGAAAATCGGATGCCCTTAGGACGGAACTTACTGTGTACATATAGACACTTGCTGAAAAACGAGGTCTATAGGCATCCATATACATATGTATTATGTGAATGAACCGGTAAGAGTACTATTTATAGGCAGTGAAGGAAGATTAACATTTATATTCTCCCTGTCATTCTTTGTGATTTTTATAAATTTGTCATCTCAGAATACCCAGTTAGACTATAGCACTCTTCAGTTAATTCTAGATTCCTAAAACATGTTCTTTCATGTGAGCATCAGCATTTACTGATTAATTAGACAATTTGTTCTGTTTACGGTGTGAAGATTATTTTTTTCCTGGTAATTGTTCGATAAGCAGTTTAAATTATGTGTACGACCTTTAGTTTGCTAGCCAGCTGCTTCGGATGGTCAGTTATGGAGAACATTCACTTACTTACACATGCTGATTGAAGAGCATTGAAGTGTTATTTATTACTTTAGATAAAAAAAACAAACACTTCCATCAACTACCTGTCAGTATTTAGAAAGAGAGGCTGATGGACTAAGTACATTCATGTATTCTGACTACTGGTCCGCATGCAGTCTAGACCCGGTGTGTGCAAACTTCTCACTGTGATGAATATAGGTGAGGAAGGAGGGTGCGGAAATGTGCAGACCCATAATACAGCTTTCTAATCATCCATACACCTCCCCCGGTGCTCATCAGTTTCCCTCGGTAAGCTACGTCACAGTCCTTATTACCTTTCCTTCTTTTAAGTTCTCATCACACGTATTACTGATCCCTAAATTTAGAGAGATCTGCATAATATAAGCATGGAGCACACAAATGGCTTGCAGAAATAATTAATAATTATTTCTAAATAAAATGCTGGGGCAGACACCTGAAGCTTATTAATGCCAGAATTGATAACAAAATATGAGGGCTAGTTAGGTTTTTTTAATATCTATTTGAGATTATTTTTCTCCAAGCTTGACTTGACTATTACGATTTTTAAAATTAGTAAAATTGTTAAACTTCTGCCTCTTTTCCTAAAAAGTGTATGCTCCATGAGCTTTTGTAAAAAGCTACATAAATGTAGTAAGACATATGAGCCCTAAGTAACTGTATACATAGAACTCTTTATGGACCTGTTTTTTATAATGGGATATGCAGCTACTGTTATTTTTCTCAGGTTGAAGAGAACTGTCACTGATTAGACAGACCAGATATCATGGGTATTGAAATAGGGAAAAAGTGAAATTTCCTCGGTTGCTATGACAGTGTTAGGACACTGAGCAGATTTAGGACAGACTTAGGACACTAAACAGAGAACACTACGAATTCGGGGAACTATCAAACAGAATGAAAGTCTTTTCATAGTTATTTATATTTACTGCACGTTTTGATGTCTTTATTCTTTATCTCTGCCTGAGATAAGACTTTCTCATTCCCACTCCTCAAACCCTTGTCCAAATTTATTCTGGCCCCATGAGAAGCTAGGTAGGTCTTTGGATTCTCTAGATTATTTGGCTACTTCCAAATATTTTAATTCAGCATAATTTTCCTCTGAATATTGGACACAATTGAGCAAATATAACCCCTTTTTGAAAGCCCAAAACTGAAAGGTTAATCAAACAGTTTTCAAATAAGCATCTCAAGGTCGTAAAACAACATTCAGGAATGAATTATGTATAAGTACTTCAAAATGTATCTGGGAGGCAAAAATCCTGGGTATATGTGACAAAACCAAGGTCTGACTTTCTCCATAGGCTATTGTCTTTATTTTTGCAATTCTAAGTTGTATATATAATTTTCCAGAAAATGAGAAAACATAGTTAATTCAGATGAGTCAATCAAATACTTTCTTCATGAGACAGAATTAATTAAAAAAGAAAAAAACTTTGATCATTTAGAGAGGTAATTATGAAAATTGAACAAACCATAAAATAGTATCATCAATTATTGCTTTATGTGCTACTGTACACTATTTATTTGCTACTAGTATCATAAAAATTAGTTTTTACCTTTATAAAAATTATTTATTGATTTCCATAATCTGCTTTATTTAATTACAAATTTAGTTAAAGTATACTAATATGATCAGCCCACTTTAAGACACAGGTTTCATTAATGGGGTGAAAAATCTTTTAGGCCTGCTTAGTCTCCACTCAGTATCATATTCTAGCTTTTATTTTTCTTGAAGCACATTCTGACCTGCATTTATTCATCCTGTTGCCTAAGCAACAAGCACCACATTCCCATTAACTGTGATGTAGTGCAGGTCTTATTAGCTTTTTAGAATAAGACAGTAGAGACATCAAAAGGATATAATTAATGTTGCTTGAAACTTCATTGTACATCCATGCATAGATATACTTTATTTAGGAAACATTCTCAAGAGTTAATTTTTCATTTAATCAATATTCCATTAATGAATGTTTTAAAGGATCCATATAAGTGACTTTCAAAGTATTTATTGAGAGCTTTAAAAAAATTTTACTAACTCTGTTCTACATACTCTCACACATAAATACAATATATGGATGATTTATCTACAGGGCTGTGATTAACTTTAATAAAGATTTCTTACATCAGTTCCTAGACATAGTTAGAAAAGTAGGACCTCCATTTATTTTTGTATATCTATCAATTATTGCTTCCCCTTTGGGCTCTTAATATTTATCCTTGATTTTACTGCTGTATGAATTTTTTTTCAGTATCTGAAAATCAGAATTTCAAACTTTTTTTTTATGTACCTGGTCCTGGTTTGCTGATATTTGTGCACATGGTTCTGACTTTCCTGTATCCTTAAATATATAAAATAAGTGGAAATTGATAAAATTTAAAGAATAACTACAAAACTACATCAGGTCACCTAAGACTTTGGGAGAGTTAGATCTATGTTGCAATCAAAAGCTCCTTCAACACGGAATCCTTCGTCTGAAGACTTAACTAAGCCCTACTTACCTGTTCATCCCCTCTGAAGTCATATATGGTCAGCTCCCTCCTAGTGAAGCACGTGCTACTCACTAGCCTCTGGGAATGCTCTCGGGTCCTAAAATATGTCTATGTTTCAACATTTTTTTTCTAAACCAAGGAGTTTAGGTATGAAGTGTTTAGTATACAAAACGTACATGCTTCTTTACTTATTATTATATATGTTGCTATCATCATCTCTTTTTTCCAAGTCTAATGACTGCTTTCTAAATTTTAAGTCTCAAACTATCTATTCTTCTCTTGATAACTGCTCATTTGTACTCTCCTCTCCCCATCCTGGACAGCTATTTCCCTTCCTTCCCCTCCTTTTTTTTTTTTTTTTTTTTTAATCCTCAAATGTCTAACTCAATTCCTGCCTTGTTTATGTAGCTTTCCTTAATGACTCTAGTCCTCTGGAGCCTCTCTTTTCTCTGCACTCATGTAGTGGTTGTATTTGGTATGAAAAATTACATTTGGCATGCCATTATTCACTCTCTAGAATTAGAAGTTAAGTTTTCACTCGTATATATCTTGTCTCTCCCACTAGACTAGAAACTCTTCAAGTCCACATTCTGTGTATTCAATTCTCTGGTCTGTCTCACAACTCCTAGTATAACTCTGTGTACATAGACATCACCCCATAACAACTGGATGCACAGCAGACTGTTGTAGATGTATCTCCAGCCTCATTTTTTAAATTGGGAGCCTTGTGGGGCACCGGGGTGGCTCAGCTGGTTAAGCGACTGCCTTCAGCTCAGGTCATGATCCCAGGGTCCTGGGATCGAGCCCCACATCGGGCTCCCTGCTCAGCCAGAAGCCTGCTTCTCCCTCTCCCACTCCCCCTGCTTGTGTTCCCTCTCTTGCTGTGTATGTGTGTGTCTCTCTCTCTGTCAATTAAATAAATAAACAAAAATCTTTAAAAATTAAATAAATAAATAAATTGGAAGCCTTGTTTTGCCAGTGGAACATGGAACATTAGTACCCTTCTTTCATTCATGCAACAGACTCTTCTTAAACATTTCATATGTGCTGAGAATGGTGCTAATTACTGAGAATGTAACAGTGAACAATCCATGATCCTTGACCTCTAACAGGTTACAGTGTTGCTCTCAGACCTATCAGATTATTTGCATGCACATTAGACACTCATTCCTTCATGTGCTCACACACACAGGTACACACATACATTCTATCACAGGGATCTTGCCCCTCATCCTTTTATATAATCACCATCCCTCAGCATATTACTTACTAAAAATTGTTTTTTCAGCAACAAATTACAGTAGGCAATGGAAGAGATAAAATCTATCATAGCAGGGAGTAAAGATAGATAAAGATACTGATACTGACAACAACAAAACACTGACAGTGTTATGGTAGATTTATGGTCCAAAAACTGAATTAAGAAGTTTATATTATTGGAGGAGGACTGACTCATAGCCTCACCAGGATAACTAGCTGACAGTTATATTTGTAAACTCTAATCAAAAAGAGGGAAGAATGAAATTATACCAACTCATTTTTTTTTAGCATTTCCTGTGTTTCTAGCAGTTGCCATCTAGGTTAGCTTAGGATGCTTTGACCATTATTAAGATGTCCCAAATGCAGGCTTTTACAGAGTAAAAAATAAAATAATTCCAGGAGCCCTATGTGATTTGGCATTTTTATACACTTGGGTGGGTAGCGTTCATAAAGGACTTGCTGAAGGTCAGAGTGATGCTGAAGAGTAGAGCCACAGAGCTCTTGGAAGTCATCCATTTGGACAAAAGATTTAAGGAAGATTGATCTTATAAGTATTTAGTTAAAATTTTCTTTTCCATTTTTGTGGTGCATTTTACATGCTAATGTACTTACATCTCTTTTCCTCTTTTATATAACTTTTCTGTAATAAGAGCACCATTTGTAGTTGACCTGATAAAGTGACCTTCT